GGCGGCGCTCAGCGCAGGGGGGTGGCCTCTGGCGCTCGGCAGGGGGTTCTGGCGGTGCTCGGCGGGGGGCGGCACGGTGCTCGGCTGGGTGGCTCGGGAGACGGCGCTCGGCTGGGAGGCTCGGGGGGCGACGCTTTATTTTGCTGCTTGGGGCAGCAAAAAGGCTAGAACCGGCCCTGGTTGCGGGACGAACATTCCAAACTTTTGGAGCAAAGCGGCTGCTTTCTGGCAAAAAATAAAATAAATAAAATCATGTTACTGAATCATTGTGATGGAAAAGTGTCCACCCACCCTCTTTTCAAGCTCATTTCCGCCTCTTGAGCTAGAATAGCTACACAGGCTTTTGACGGCTGGCTGCTGTGGGCAGCCCCCACAAAGACCATTGATTCTCAGAGCACAGAGAAAATCAGAAGGGCAGGATCTCGACACACGACTGTCTGCGCTGGCTCTGCCTGGTGCTCCAGGCTGGGATTTGCTGCCTGACTGAATCAGAATCTCCATCGAATCTGAGTCGAGTCGAGCACCCAACTCTTCTGGCATTTTTGAAAAGAGCAGCTAGGGCAGAAGGTACAAATTATTCAGCCTTTCACCAACGCCCATGCAGTGGTCAGAAGGTGGCAGGTTTCAACAGACACAATATTTCCTCGTGGGGGCGTGTTCATCTTAGCTCACACAGCTAGGACGGTGCCTTCACACACAGCTGTGGCCTTTGCTGGCCATGGTTGACGGAGAAGTCTATGATTACATAAACTGCCCGGCAGGCTCCCTGTCCAGCAACATGTCAGCCCCGGCTCAGCATCACAGTGAGTGCATTTCACTTGGTGGCGGTGTTTCAGGGGGGTGGATTTTGGGAGGCTGGGATTCCATTTTTGCGACTGTAATGTTGATAAATAGCAGGTCTAGCGATGCACTAGGGGCCAGATTCCCATCTGGGGTAAGCGAGCACAGCTACATTGACTTCAGTGCATTAACTCCGGATTTACATCAGGGTCACGGAGAGCAGAATTTGGTCCTCACTCCACTGACTTCAGTGGGGTTGCTCTGGATTTACCTCTGGTCACTGAGATCAAAATCCAGCCCTGACCCCATTCATTGCAGTGGAGTCACTCTGGATTTGGAACAGGGTCACTGAGATCAGACTGCAGCTCTGACACAATTCATTGCAGTGGAGTCACTCCGGATTTGGAACAGGGTCACTGAGATCAGACTGCAGCTCTGACAAAATTCATTGCAGTGGAGTCACTCCGGATTTGGAACAAGGTCACTGAGATTAGACTGCAGCCCTGACACAATTCATTGCAGTGGAGTCACTCCGGATTTGGAACAAGGTAACTGAGATCAGACTGCAGCCCTGACACAATGCATCGCAGTGGAGTCACTCCGGAATTGGAACAGGGTCACTGAGATCTGGGCATAGTGAGAGCAAGACACAGTTGGTCACAGTATATCGTACAGCTCTGCCCTCCTGTGCGGTCACATTGCCCGACTGGAATGTGGTCAACACGTACTGAGACCAAGAGGAAGGAGCAGGGAGGCCCGGGGGGGAAGGACACTTGCCCAGAACTCGGAGGACCTGGTTTAAGTCCTTTTTTGCACACTCCCTGTGTCACCTTGAGCTAGGCGCGTGGGTCAGACTTCCACAGGTATGTCGGTGCCTGAGCAAGTTGGCTTCAGTGGGACTTAGAGACTTTAAAAAAATTACACCCAGCCTGGTTTTTTAGGTGCCTAAATACCTTAGAAAAGCTGGCCCTCCATCACTCGGTGCATCCGCTTCCCACCCGTAAGCAGGCGTGGAGAGACAGAGCAGCGTTCTATTACCTCTGTGTCTGTCACCGGTACAAGCGCTGCTGGGCTCTGCGGCCGGTGCTGGTGGCACAGATCACGAAGAGGTTAATGAACTAGAGAGGGGTCAGGGAACAGCCACGAGAAGGATTAAACGGTTAGAAAACCTGCGTTACAGTGCGAGACTCCCGGAGCTCCATCTTGTCAGCATGACAAAGAGAAGGTGACGGGGTGACTTGATCCCAGGCTGTCAGTACAAATATTTAATAACGGGCTCTTCAGTCTAGCCAAGGTCTAACACAACCCAATGGCTGGAACTTGAAGCTAGCCAAATTCAGGCTGGAAATACAGGTACATTTATAACAGGGAGAGTAGTTAACCATGGAACAATTTACCAGGGGTCACGGGGGATTCTCCATCATTGACCGTTTTTAACTCAAGCTGGGACGTTTTTCTGACGGCTCCGTTGTAGGCATTATTTTGGGGCAGGTCTCTGGCCTGTGCTAGCCTAGAGGTCAGACTAGGTGATCACAATGGTCCCTTCTGGCCTTGGTATCTACGCAAGCTGGAGATAACAGCACTGCCCTGTCTCACTGCTGCTACAGAAACGGAGCCAGGTGAGTTCCAGAGGACAACAGAATTCTGTTACCGACTCCAGTTCCTTCTAGTATTATTCCTTGTGTATAAGCTTTTGTGGGCTATAACCCACTTCATCAGATGCATTATAACACGTTCACCTCCCCCCTCACACACACACTTCCGGCAGTGGGTTTCCTGATCTGCTGAGGTGAGAAGAGCAGTGTCTTCTCCTCCTCCTTCTCAGAGCCTTTTGCTGCAATTTGCTCAGCTAGCCACAGCCAAACAAGGGGGCTTGTTTCCACTGACAGGCGAGAACTGCAAACAGGCCAGGCCAGCGCGTTAAAGGGCAGAGACGTCGCCTTGCAGATGT